CAGGCCGAGACTCCGGCTCCTAGCCACTCTGGTGGTCACAAAGAAGTCCTCTGTTTCCTCAAATGCTGCACACACTCACGCACTCATTGACAGACACACGCACACACACACACACAGTGAGGGTTTGATTCAGGGTGTAAAAGACTTTATTGATACGCTGGTCAGGCGTGTCTTTGGCAACAGTGTTGTCGGTGTTATTGCCCTCTGAGAGAAAGGATAATAAAGGAGGTTCGCACCGCCTGTGTTTACACACTGCTCTGTGAAGAAGCTTTTTACAAGCAACTCTCTTAGTGGAAGCCAGCAAACAAATAGCAGCAACACAGAATATTCTGTATAATTAATATGTCCTCTATTAAAAGGATCCCTTTCTTCTCCCCACAATCTCCTACAGATGTGACCTCGCCTCCAGTCCTTACTCCATCCAGGGATGCAATGTGCCGAACAGATTCAGCCCAGCCAGCTCTTCACCTTCCTGGAATCGCAGCACCTACGGGGCCTCCATCTGATGCCCCACTTTCCTCAAGCACCTCCTCCTCACCCACCGCCCTTCCCTCCCTCTCCCGCAGCGACCCAGGTACTGGAGGAGGAGTAGGTGGAGGCTTGCAGAGCCGGAGCAATAGCTCTGAACGTCTGCTGGAGGCCTCTAGTGGTACATCTGATGACTATCATGATGCTGATGGGACTCGCAGGGCCCGAGCTGTGGAGAACCAGTACTCTTTCTACTAAATGACCCAGGCCAGGTCCAGAAAGTTGGAAGCTACATTGGGCTCTCCTCTGCTGATGATGAAAATGTTCCAAATCACTGGATCACTAATCGTCCAGTTTGTCGGTTTTTATTTCAAGGCAATTTCCTGTTCCTCTGATTTGACAAGGGATGGGATGATAATGATCCTTAGCAGCGTGGCCATGCTCATAAAAACCCTCCGCCTCTGTGGATTTCTCTGTGGATGCCGGTTAATGGGAGACAGTGAGGGCTACAGGTAGGAAAGGATGGGTTGAGGTTGAGAAGAAGCTGTTTAAAAAAAACAGAAAAAGGCTGTGGTGAATGTAATCGTAGGTGGAGAAAGAAAGAGGAAGTCATCCAGTAGAGTCATATGGCTTTGATTCATCTCTACTGACCACTTCCCGTTCACCCTTACCCATAGTTCCCTGGGAGCAGAGCCCGTGTCACCACCCTGCCGAAGGCTTGTGAGTTTAAAATGACCCCGAAGAAACAGCCCCTCCCTTATGAGCTCTGTTAATGTTTGTAAAGCTGCTTTGAGCCCGTCCCGGATATCCTCACTTTCCCTGTGGGCTTTCCCTACAGAGTCCTGCTCTGGGTCTTTGCTCTCCACTAACATAAGTACAGCAATCATGGGTGTGTTAGTGTTAGCTCGGAGATGTTTTTCCCCAAACATGTACAGCCTAAAGGGTCTTAGTGCCTGACAATTATCTGATTAATTTACTGTTTGAAACATACCGAACCTGCATATCTGCATACTGAGAGCATTTTCTTCTACACAGACACACACGGTCATATGTTGTGTTACAAATCAGTTTAAAGCTGTTTAAATGGAACATGAACAATAGAAGTCTGCACGAACAGGGAAGCGTGGCTCCAATTTTGTCGTCCTACTGGGGTATTTCTATGAGTGTGTGGTGGTGTAGTAGAGTGCAAATATTTTTCGATGATCGGTGTGCTACAGTAGTGTTTCTGAAACATGGTTTTCGGGGTCCCTCCATCTGGTGACGGTTCTGTATTCACGCTCAGCATATGAATAACCTGTAGATTAGATATCCTGTTTATATAGATCACATTAAAGTAATGCCTTGAAAATATAATTATACCAAATCCAGCATTTATCGGAGGGACTTGGGACATGTTGTTTTGAATGGTAGCAGTATTGTACACTGTATATGTGGCCTGCAGGTGAGCTTTTGGGTGTGACCTGGAATGACACAGCTAGTTAAATAAAGGGTACTACATGGCCATGCTTGAATGGACAGATATGGCATCACTGCTTTAATTTGTGCCGACATGGGAATAAGCTTTATGCAGAAAATTATTCAAGAAAAACATCATTTTCACAAAAGGAAAAGTGTGACATTTTTGGAAATATTGCTAATAACTAATTAGTGTAATACCACCAGAGCCCCGTCACTTCCTATCACTGCCTCTGTTATACTTACATTGGAGAGTGAAAAGCAGCAAAGCGTTCAATGAATGGGACAGAACAGAGCTAAACGTTAGCAGAACTTATTTGGACCTGCGCCAGATCATTTCAATTTTCGGAAAATTACTGTCAGTCATTTTGATTTTCTTACAGTGGAACAGATTTTGCTCGTTGCAAGCTAGAGCCACACGGGATTTATGACAGGACATCCTCCCTCGGAGGCGTGTTTCCAAAGCTGTGACTCGGACTGACATTAGCACTGTAGTCAAACTAAAACAGAAACTCGCCTGAGTGTAAAAAGCAGTCGGTTATTGTGGTAAGTGGTGACTGTTGTCAGGTGATTGCTGGTAGAAATCACACGGTGCTTATTTGATGTCTGGAAACCAGACTTGTCACTAGGTGACCCTCTGGAAAGTAAAAACTGAACTATATCTATGGTGTCAGACACTTTTTTCAAAAACATGGTCAAAATTTGAAATTCTTTTTGGCCACATGAATGTTACAGCTACCACAGGACCAAAGTTGATTCTGGGCTATCTTGCAAGTGCCCCGTAGTTCAGGAAGTTCTGTTTCCTGTGAAGCCACGCTGCCAACAGGTAGCTAATTTAAATCAAAGACTGGAAACACAGGGAGCAGTTTTCCTGGCCAAGACTCGCTTGTGTAACATGTACAACAATATGTTCTGATTGCATGCTGGACTAATTTTTGGCTGGAGCTACTTTCCAAGCAACCTGCAAGCTCGCCCAAACAGAGCACACACTTGCAGTTTGGGATTTGTGCTAAATAAAGGAGACATAAATGAGCCTCGGAGAAGCTCATAGATGGATATTGTCACCTCTAATGGAGTCAGCCTATCTTAGCTGAACCCTCTTTACCTCCAGTCTTAAAACTGGGGCAGGCAACATGATTTTGACACCAGTGAGCAATAATCCAAGAAAACTATGATTGGATTCCTGCATCTCTCATGGCTTTGTTTTGAAGGTTTAAAAACTCTAACCTGTGGTAGGGAGACTTTGTCCAATCACAGGTATTTTCAGGCCAGATTAACTGTGCAGTATAGAGAATTTTAAGTCCATCTGGAAAGTGTTGGCATAGTAGATTAAGCAGAACCCTTCAAAGTACGTGCATATGCTTGTGCTCATCAGATGAAAGGCTCTTAGATTACAGAGGGCAGATGAGGAGTTTTTTCCTTCTAGATTTCTGCCTGTTACGCTCTTATTCTAATGAATAATCTAAAAGATAAATTTGGCAACTGCAGCTTCACATTTCCTGTCAGTCATCTCAGCAATCTCTTGGCAAGGCAGTGAACAAGCATATTTCCTAACATGTCAGTCTTTTTTTTTTTCTTTCTCCTTAAAGCATAAAAAACAGACAGTGCAACAGCCAAGCGAGCAGCTGTTTGTAACAGGTGGCACATATGCAACACTTTTCTTCAGTTGTAATAAACATATCAAGCGTTAACTGCCCCTTCAAGCGCGGCCATTTAGCCTCACAGGTGATTGCAGTCGAGGAGCGGACGGAGCGGTTCATGTGCCAATTTGAATCCTATTTTTGAGACATATTTATTCCTCAGCCGTTGTAAAATTACATTTTTCCTATTGAGTCTTACTTATGTACAATTGATTGATTCTTCTTGTTTGTTTGCAAGAAAGCCATCTCACATATCGCAGATTACTCATCGTCTCCCTTTTATTTTCTTAACACTCCTACAGCCGAGTTTTTCTGTTGTCTGGCTGAGTTTTGAAGAGTCTGTGCAATTTTGTACAAAGTGATGTACTTGACATACTACTTTATATTTCTGTGAATAAAATGTGAACAAACTTTTGCACGCTTTCTCCAGTTATTCCCGCTGAGACGTCACAGGTCAAAAGTTCAGGCAGGTAACAGACTTGAGAGTTTCAACAAACATATTCTCATGAAGTGCCGAAAGTAGCACAGAGACAAAAAGAGACCTACTTATGAGTCTGTGTTAACAGAGGTATGAAAACTCATATGTACCGTGGGTTTGCTCGCTGTTTGTGTGTTTATATTTAACGTAACCACCCACCTTTATGCTATAATTAAGCTCTACGGCTGACATAAAATGACCTGCCATACTTTCATGCTCCCCACGTAAACTCATCAGGGTAGCCAGTGATCTCAATTTAAAAAGCCACAGTCTACAAATGTTTGACTTATGCTAGACAACAAGTTAAAGACATGAGTCAATATTTGTAGTGCTTTTATGTCTTTAATATGTTACAGCTTGCATGCATTCATACTCACACAAAGAGCCTCTGGGAGCCTGTCAGGCCTCCAGCTGTAACCTAGTGATCATTTCATTGTGCTCAGATGCCCTCTACAGGTCAGCTCTTGTAACATTAGGGGGGACAAACACGGGTGCTCTGTGCACATAGTATCTAAGTAGTAATTATTTTCCTGCAAACACCAATGCAGTATCATATAATGCATTTTTTATTATTAATTTCTATTCATGAGGACATGATACAGTTATCTCACAAGGAAAAAGAAATCTGGATTCAGGGCCAAACTAAAACGTAATCGCTTCTAAGCTGGGCTGAATCCTCGGCTCAGGTAGTTATTAGGTAACTGCAGCGCTTTTAACTCACAGCGAGAATACAAGAAGGGTTTGAGTTCTTTGGCCGGGGACTTTATCTCTGTACCTTTTTAGGTTCTCTCCCTTTACACATGCATGTTAGAGTAACGTGTAATTCTAAATTGGTCATAGGTGTGAATGTGAATATGAGTGCTTGTCCCTCTGTGTTAGCCCTCCGTGTTGTTGTCCTCTGCTTCTGGCAGCTGGAACAGACTCTGCCCTGATGCTGAATCAGTCAGGAAGAAAAGGGATGCACTGCACAGTTTTATTGTATTTTTCGTACTGGAGCTTTCCTCACACATAATAATCGACTTTAAATTTTAATTTTACAATACATGAACATATTTACACTGAAATACATGGAAGGAGGTGCAAGTATGTAATGCAACTAATACCAGCTTAATCTTATATGGAAACTTGTTTTTGCCACTGAAAAGTCAAAATAAGTAACAAGATTGTAATTTTAAATTTTGACTTATGTATGGCAAAAAATATATATGTGGTACCAAATCTTTTTTTTCCCCAGTGGGACAAAAAAAGGCTTCCATAATCTTCAAGTGATTTTTCCACATTACAGAGCTGGAGTATAAGGAAGGCCAAAAGAATTGTGCATTATACAGGAAGGACAAGTTGAATGATCTTCGTCCTTTTGCAGAAGTTTGATAGACAGAAATCAACCTGAACCACCAAAAGCTGTCTGACTTCAGCCTGCTACTACAGAAAATAGTATAGGTGCTAGAAAGACTAACCCAAGTCTATGCCAGGTACATGGTTTGCAACATGTTTCTACACCGATTTCATAGATGCACAGAAAAGAAAAAGGGTCCAAAGAAGTCAAAGCTCCAGCAACATTTGCAGTATAAAGAACAGCTTTGTGATTTTTACCAGCCTGCTTCATCAGGGTAATCTTAATACTACAGGTGTTGTTGGAGCTTTGACCTCTTAAGACATAAAAACATGAAATGAGGTAATGAGGACATCACCCATACACTGAGTGTATCAGGGGTGTCAAATGCAGGGCCCTGGTAACACGAACCATTACACTACAGGACAGCAGCGACATCTTTAACTTGTTCATAAAATCCACAAACATCACTGTACATGAGTGAAAATGGGTCAAAGTTATTGTTGCTTTTGTTAGTTACAACAGCTACATGTGAAGGTTTTGTGCTTTTGCAGGTCCACTGTGGTGTTTAATGCGGGTTTCGCTCCAATCATCCGACTGTGGATCAAAATGGGCTGCCGGTGACTACAATGACTTTGACACCCCTGATTTACATTCAAGTCCCCAACCTGTGGGGTGGTTTACAGTTTCCACTGCCTTCGATCCATCGCCCTTCTACAGGTGGAGAAACTGAAACATTCAGTTGTTGTCGTACAGCATCCCTGCCTGTCTCAACCAGGTTTTGCTTTCTGTAATCATTCCTCATGTTTACACTGGTCATTAAGGACGTGTTCACACCATGTGTGCATAGTGCTCACAATGAACCAATACATACAAAAAAAAGGGACATTCAGACAAATGCACAACCTGATTTTCCACTTAGCGTAGGCACAGGTTGTTGGATTTAAGCAATCCTCTTCTTAAATGAACTTTCAAAACCTTCAAAACCCAGTCTCTTTGTTTCCCTGAAAAGCAGTTCCACCCTGAGCTCAGGCAGATATAGAAATAGTGAGCTGCCAACAAAAGAGCCTGTCTTTCAAGAGGACATCCTCTTTGAAATGGGGACAGCTGAAGGCTCATTTTAGCTTCAGTTTTTTGACTGGAAGGGGAAAACTGGGGCTTTTGTCCAACATTGCTTACAATAAAAACACATCATGCGTGATTTAAAGGTCAATTCTATGTCCTGTGAACTATTAAAATGAAGCCTGGTCTTTTTTTTTTCATTACTAAGCATGAACAGGAGGAACGACTGTGAAAAGCAAGAACTCTTTTGGGGTTTTTTTCAATCGAAGACTTGAGAAATGAACCCATGTTTTTAAGCAATCAGTATACAGTACAGACATGGAGCCTAACAAGTTGCTGCTTGAAACAGCTTAAATAATCCGAGTGAGACGGTTTGTTTACTCCTGAAAACAACTGAACCTCTTCAGCTGTCAGCAACTGTGCAAACACTTCCCGTCTCCACCTCCTCACCCTGAGAGTCATAAAGTGCAGCCTCCGGCTGCCGCTTCTATTTCAAGGCCCGTTGACATTGATAATAATTAGCCCTGCCATGGCCAGCAGCATTACCACAGCCACCTCCATCATTTTCTTCTGCCTCCACCTGCTATGATGCTTCTTCAGCTCCTCCTCCATCCGCTGCTTCCTGGCTCTCTGGTCCTTCTCTCTCTGCAGCTGCTCCCCGTAGTGAGCCTGATAAAAGGCATCAAAATCAAATATGGGCCTCCCTCCAGGTTGGGAGAACTGTCTGGCTCTCTGCTGAGGTTTTTGTTGGGAGCCTGTGGATCTGCTGGAAGCCTCCTTGCTGGAGGGTCTGCCTGCATTTTGGATGTCTGCCCGGCTCAGGATGCCGCGGTCGTACTTCCTCCTCAGGCTGATGTTTCCCAGCACGGTGTAAGCCTCGCTGATATCAGAGAAGCGCTGTGTGGCCTCCTTGCTCCCGGGGTTCTTGTCAGGGTGGTAGATGAAGGATTGCTTGTAGTAAGCCGTCTTGATCTGAGACTGCGTGGCACTGAGAGACACTTTGAGGATGTCATAATAGGCAGTCCTGCTCCTGTGCAGCAGAGGAGCGTCTTCTGACCTCCAGCTGTAGCTTCTAGCTGCTGTGAAACTTGACTTCAGGGCGTCATGGAGCAGATTCAGACATCTCAGTCCGTGTCCACTTCCCAGCCTGTCTGATCCAGGATCTGCCAAGATGAAGGTAAGCGTGCAGAGAGCTCGGTGCTGTTGGGGGGACCTGAAGGCGTCAGGGTGGATGGAGACAGCTGCTGTCGTCCACAGTCTCATCCTGCAAAGCAGCAGCTTCTTCTGGAGGAAAAGAGCAGCTTTATGAGCTCGCAGGCTCCCCGTGCTTTCTAAAAATTCGGTGAAACCGGAGACAGCCGCACTCTCCAAAACCTGACTCCCGCTTTCCTTCACTGTGGAAACTTTCTCTGACCTGAGAAGTGTTTCTGTGCTTTCTGAAGCTGACTGAACTACACGTCCACACTGGACTGATTTCTCTGTAACCCGACCGGAAACGAAGGCATGGTTTGTTATAAGACACCCGGGACTTGCTCCGGGGCACACGGCTCGATTCTGGCTGGTTTTGAGAGCAGACAGCCGGTAAACTCCATTCCCCAGCCTTTGACCGACCTCTGCCATTTTACCGAGCAGGGGCCGGAAAACAGCTGCAGCATCCGGCGCGTGAGAGAAAGAGGACCCAATCAGAGCCAATGTTTACAGGAAGTAGTCAAACACAACCGACCAATCATTTAGCAGAGCACCAGCAACATAAAGATCAACATTAACACTTTATTTCTCGTGTAAAATTAAAGGAAATTAGGACAATTGATTATCTTTATCTTCTACAATGTAACAAAATTTGAGAGAGATTTAATTTAAGTCCTTTTCTTTTAATGAAATGACAATTTCTTATTCTTAAACATTATTTTTATTTTCTTTTGTAATGTAAAAGACAGAGTAGCTACCCATGCAACAGCGTCACAACCTTTGATAAGATAATTCCAACTTTGTTACTGTGTGATTAATTAAACGTGAATTTTATAGAGGAAAGGGTTTCTATCTCTCTGGATGCAAAGTAAGACAGATAAGAGGATTTCATGAATGAATTAGTTTCTGCATAAAGTTCCTGTTTTTGTTGGAGTCAAGAGGAATGAGAACCTGGATAAAGGTGCAACAAATAGACAATAAATCATATCACAAAGATGCAGCACGATGAACAGATATATTAAAAATAAACAGTAAGTTGGTGATGATATGGAAGGCCAAAAATGATTATAATTAGTGATTATAATAATGTAATAAATATAGTATTAAAAATATGGCAATAAATCTGATTTAAATCTGATTTTTTCATTACAGTTAATCTACAAATATTATTATTTGAGATTTGTCTCAAAATGTTGCCCTCTCAAAATCAACAGCAATAATAAAAGAATGTGCTAGATTAAAGTCGAAAGATCCAAGATCCAGATTTTAAGTTGAAGTAGTAAGTATTGCAAATTTGCTACGAAAAATAATGTATAAGTATTGGGACCACATTCAGAATAAAGTATTAGTCGTTTTTTTTTTTTTCTAACAATCTATTCTCAATTAATTAAAAAAAATGAACTTCCAGTTCGACTTCAATCTTTTTTTACTAGCATTTCTAATTTTGAGAATTAAGTCAAAATTTGAGATAATAGTACTATGTTAGGATCAAAGTAAAAATATATATTGATAATAAAAAATGATATTTTCATATGTTTTTATTTTATTTATTTATTTTATTTATTTATTTTTTAGAAAGCTTAGGGTGGTCGGCACGGCAGGTCAGAGGGTGGCAGTAAAGCGCTCCAACGTTCCAAACGGTGCAAAAGAAGAAGAGGCGTGCCGTCGCTTGTGAATGACGTCAACATAATTCACGTGTGGGTCTTTTGCTACCAGGCAGCTTGTTTATAAAGTAAAATTACTCCCGTAACATAACGACTGACAAGGAGACGCGAGCATGGCGTCCAGCTGTCGACGACCCGAACACTCAGCTCCTCCAGATGTGGTCAGTCGGACGGTTTATTCTTTTTTTTTAGCTTTTGTTTTCTGCCGGTGCTTCTTCTACAGGAGCATTTTAAATCTATAAATGGCTCTTTAAAGGCCTCCATCTGAAGCAGCTTTAAAGACATGGTTTAAATGGTTGTTTAGTGAACATGAATCGGTAATTTGTTTTTTTCAAAGGATGTGATTTGGTGAGCTGTGTGTTGGTCTGGTTTAAATGATGCTTGAAGCACCAGAGAAGCAGCTGCAGGGTTGTAGGAGTGAACTGAGGTGTTACTGATCTGTCAATCTGATGTGCTCTAATCTCTGCAGTTCTACAATGAAGAGGAGGCCAAGAAGTACTCCCAAAAGTGAGTGTGGATGTAACGATACTATGTTTGTGACTACGTTACATGTTTATATGTAACACACAGCTCTTTTTTTATCCAGTGTCTCAGTGTTTCTGTCCTTTGACATAATTAAACTGTGCGCTTCATTTAGTTTTTTTGTTAGGGTTGCATTTCTAACATAAAGAATCTAATCTCAGTAGTTTTATTCCAACCCCTTTACTGTCCGCTGCACTTTATATATACATTCTGTATATGATTGAGACACTTCATTTAAACCATTTTTATTCTGCCTTGGTGGCTTCTTGACTGCTGTTTTTTTTATGTTTAACTGGAAAGCGTTTGGTTTTGGGACTAAATGAGCAATCCGTTAATCTGTATCAAACCAGGTACAGTGGGTTGATAATGAGAACTCATTAGTTGCACCTCTGGGTGAATGCTCATTACTGCACAGTTGTTCAGTGTATAAATTAATTTGAAGACCTCAGGAAAGGATACATTTTCTTGACTAAATTTAAAGATGCCCCGTGTTTAGCCTCTTTCATCCCATCTTGGCTAACTTACTTTGATGTGGGACACTGACCAAAGATTCAAACACCTAAAACTCCTTTGGGTCAAACATATAACAACTTAAAGAGTCTTTGTGGCTGTCATGTATGAACCACCCTTCCTCTTTCAAAAAAGTGGTATAGCTGTGTCATTACCCCCCCTTTCCCCTGATTCAGACGGATTTACAGTAAAACAGAATAGAGAACAGTTTTATGCCTGTCCGTTAGCAGCAAGTTGCCTGATTTTGTGTTCATAAGCGAGAAAATTAAGTTAGCATATGCCAAAAAATGTTTTAATAATATAAAAGATCTGAAATCTTGTTGTGTTTTGTTGCTTCTTAGCTCTCGAATGATTGAGATCCAGACCCAGATGTCAGAGAGAGCTGTGGAGCTTTTGAGCCTGCCAGAGGGACAGCCCTGCTTCTTGTTGGATGTTGGGTGAGTGAGTGGCTGAATTTACTTATAGCAAGTGCATTAAGTTAGAGATGTAATATGGTAGTACATATTTACTCTTAACAATAACATGAAAGGCTCATCAGTAATCTAAGCAGTGCTTTGACAGGTAGACGCATATTGGCAGTACTGTTGCATGAATGAATGCACGTTTAGAACTAGCTCCAATCAAACTTATTGAATTCTTTATTAGTAATAAAAAAAGAAAGAAAAGAACTTAGAAGTAAAGCATTTAAGAAAATCCCTGAAAAATTGAGTTTTGAGAAAGTGGCATTTTCCAGTAGTTTCTGGGATATTATCTTTATCCTCCAAGAAGCCTCTTGCTCAGGGGATGGCGCAGTGCTTTTAGTCTAAAAACTTGGGAGGTGGGGGATGTAAACACTTATGATTGGCTGTGGAGGGTTTTGTACCTCCCGGATTTATTTGAAGCACCACTGTTTTCATGGTAGTTAAAGGTTGAAATGTGGCAAAAGTCAGAATGTCTGCTGGTGTTGTAGAAAAGTCATTGTTATGAGTTTTAGTTTGAACATAACTCATTGTTATGTGACACAGTAATTTGATGTATTTGTGATGAGAAACAATCTGGTCTGTGCCTCTCAGGTGTGGCTCCGGTCTCAGCGGAGATTACCTGTCAGAAGAGGGACACTACTGGGTCGGAGTCGACATCAGCACCGCGATGTTGGGTTCGTTTGACACTCAAACTTTATATCACTCATGATATACGGAATATATCATTAAAAATTTGTACATGTGCAGCTAAATACTGACATAATCTAACACACCTGAAGGAAATGAACAGTCAGCCTCCTGTTTTATTGATGTCCGTGTGTTAAAACGTAATGTTTTTCCCAACATATAGTGCCAAAGCTTGACTATATTCCAAAAATATTCCTAAAGTCTGTCTACAGACTGGAACTAGATGAGTTAAAGGAAGACATTGTTAGCTTCAGGACATCCAATACATTCACACACTTATAGGTAGTCATAAAACTAGAGTATAAAATGCTCAGAGTGTGCAAAATCATATATCCCGCCACAATACACCACGAGCAGTCTAAACTGTAAATACAAGGCAGGAGGGATCCACGCTTTAATGTCATTTAGGTCAAATTCTGACCGTGCCATCCAAGTGCTGCAGCAGAAATTGAGACTCATCATCACCAGGCAATGTTTCTTAAATCCAGTTTTGGTGAGCTTATGTACATTTTAGCCTCAGTTTTCTGTTCTTAGCAGACAGGTATGGCACCAGGTGTGGTGGTCTGCTGGTGTAGCCCATCTGCTACAGCTCAGACCTTTGTGCGTTTCAAAATACTCTCGATTTACTGTTGCTTTTCTATCAAGTCCAAGCAGTCAAGCCATTCTCCTCTGTCTTCAACAGGATGTTTTAACTCTGAACTGCTCCTTATTGGATATTTTATTTTTCTGACCTTTCTTCGCAAACATTAGAGGTGGTTGTTCGGGGAAAATCCCAGCAGTTTCTGAATACTCACACCAGCCCTGATGACATCAACAAAAATGCTTAATTCAAGTCACTTAAATCACCTTTCGTCCCAATTCTAATGCTTAGTGAACTTCAGCTGATCTTCTTGACCAGGTCTACATGCCTAAATACATCGAGTTGCTGCCATGTGATTGGCTAATGAAATTTAAGCCTAAAATGTATTTTAAGCATGATAACAGATCCAATATGCGGTTTCGGTTGGTTGTTTTTTGTGCATTTATGTCACCACAAGAAATACATAAACTCTAAACAAATGTAATTCTCTTCTGTGTGACAGATGTTGCACTGGACAGAGAGGTGGAAGGAGACCTCGTACTGGGAGACATGGGCCACGGGATGCCGTTCAGACCTGGTACCTTTGATGGTTGCGTCAGGTAAAGAACAAAGGATGCTTATAAGTCAGGCTCTTCCTGGGAATTTTGAATGATTTATGACCCCTTTAAAAAACTCTTTTCCTGTTTCAGTATCTCTGCCCTGCAGTGGCTTTGTAATGCAGACAAAAGGACGCACAGTCCTCCAAAGAGACTCTACACCTTCTTTAGCACTCTGTACTCATGTCTGGTAAGATTTTATCACTCAAATATCCAGGAAGCTTATTTTTGATGAAAACATTTTATAACCTCTTCTTGCTCTTTCAGTCAAGAGGCTCACGTGCAGTCTTTCAGCTTTATCCTGAGAACTCAGAACAGGTAAAAGGGGGAAAAAACCCTCTTTGTGTTTCCATGAAGGCTCTGTGTCAGCAGAGGAACACCCTGAAGGTTTCTCTTCACTCACTTATCACCTTCCTCTTTTCTCTCCAAAGCTCGAGCTGATAACAACACAGGCCATGAAGGCAGGTTTCAGTGGAGGCATGGTGGTGGATTACCCCAACAGCGCAAAAGCAAAAAAGTCAGTATTTACTGGAAGTGGCTCCTTTTTATTTTGACGTCTGCAACCGATTCCTTCCTAATAGGCTGTGAAATTGGTAGCCGGGTGCTCACAACACAGGGCTAATTAGAACAGGGGGGACTTGGCTGCATGATGTATGATTACATATTGGAGCTGTTTGGCTGGTTTACGTTTTCTTACACACACGCTTCCTGTTTATCTCCAGGTTCTTCCTGTGTCTGTTTGCCGGCGTAGCAGGAGTTCTTCCCAAAGTAAGGAAAGCTGTGGATGTTGTGGGTTGCTGCCTTTTGTTTGAGCCAGATGATGATCATGTTAATGTCTTTTTCCTGTATTTCAGGGACTGGGATCAGAAACGTCAGACAAAGCTGTTCCAAACCAGGTTCAGTACTCAGGACAAAGGTAAAGACGTCCACTGCAGGCGATGCTGCCAACCCTGAGCAATTAGACTGTTTCATAAAGCTGTTTGCATGGGTTGACATAACAGCTGTTAATTCAGTTTATTTCAATCTCTGGTGTTTTTACAGCTTTTTGTGTGTTTGTGTTTCATGTAGACATATGCAATGTGTTTCAGCCCGAGGCCACTTGAGTGTTTTCTAATGTGTTTTTCTGCTGATTGTTCATTGTTGACTGCCGAAGGAAAGAATGTATGGGATTTTAACAACCTTACATTTTTTTTTTATTTCCCGTCTGTGTGGTAGTAGCTTTCAAAGGATTTGCTACATCTCTTTTTTTTCTGCAGCAAACAATATGATCAGTAAAGATGAATGATGTCGGGGACTGTTTGCTACAGCTGTAATTTATTCTCATCAGGATAATTGGTGATTTGCTTATGATTTGTGATAACGCAGCCGTATAAATCATCCCATTTATTACTTTGCATTAGGATAGTGAACTGGTCTCAGCTTTGATGAGTGCAGGTTCAGTCTTACCTGCCTTTATGAAGCCAAAAGACCAAAAGAAATGACAGAAAGGGTCGTTGTCCTGCTTGACTTAAAACCCTGTCAGGCAGGTTTTCCTCCCTTTTACAGAGTAAGACTCAAGTGACTGTATATGTGAGATGTTTTGCATCTAATGCTAAGTATTAATATTCATTTGTCGCTGTAAAGATGTCGTTTCAGAAACATGAAGGGAAAATCGCTGAAGAAGGGACGAGACTGGATCCTGGAAAAGAAGGAGAGGAGGAGGAGACAGGGACGGTGTGTGCATGAGTGTATTTTCAACTCTTAGAGGACGAAAAATTGAATTCATTATGCCGAGCTTAAAGCTCTGAATGTCGTAATGTACTTAGTTTAGCTTTAACTGGATTTTACCTTTTATTGCCTGTATTTTATAATGCACCTTAACTGGCTTCTCTGTCTCTGCTGTGTGTTTGTTAACCTGCAGGGAGGTTCGAGCCGACACTAAATACACTGGACGTAAGCGAAGACCTCATTTCTAGCTCTGACTCATGCAGCTGCGCCTTCATTAGCCCTCCTCTGTCACACACACACACGGAACCACCTCTGGAACTGCAGAGTGTTTGGACTCTGATTTATTTTTCAGCCCTTTAATTCAAGTGGATGTGATGCAAGAGCAAAATGCAATTACAGCCAGTCGTTTTTATATTTGGTCGAGTGTTCCTCGCTAAAAGCGGTGAGATTGCACTCACAATGTTCAGTTTGGCTGGAAGTACATGAACAAATGTGTGTGTACTCACAGCTGGTGGCAAAAACCACAGTGAAGAAAAAGCAAAACAGTATAAATAAATCAAAGCAATTTTATAAGTGGCCATATCTTTGTGGTTTATTGTATTATCTGCAATGTTTTCTCAATTAAAACTAAAATTTTTTTTTATTGAGGTTGTTTAATTATTTATTTTTAGCTCATAAAAGAAATTAAAGAAAGAGCCACAAAATGAATTTACCTTTATTAGGGAGCTATGATTATAAAAATGACTTAATAATGAAAAAAATGGTAGTTAATCAGGTTAAAAAGAAATAAACTTCAGGAGCTGCGTTTACAAGGGAGAAACTGAACTAGCCTCGTTTGTAATGGAGGAAAATTGTTTCTTGCAGCTAAGAAAAAATAACACAAGTTTTAAGTCACCCCTCATTGTTGCATATTTTTGCTTCCAAGGAGCCAGACTTTCTTGAGGTTTTGAAGTGGTCTTCTGTTCTCCAGACTTTCTGTTGGTCTTTTGGGGTTTTTTTTGGACACTTGGCATTTCTTTGCTTTTGTTTAGCTTTTTGATTCCAGCCCTTTTTATCTGACCACTTTCAGAGGAATGTTTTTTTTTTTTTTTTTTTTAAATGCTGACCTATGAATCATTCAAGCATAAGAAGGCATCTAATTCAAGACATGACCCAGTGTTTTGTCTGTACATAGCAGACAAGTTGGCAAAGAACCAATTTTATATTTGTTACTAGCAACCCATTGCTAAAAAAACCCCCCCAAACTTAAAATGTGTTCCCATTTCTTTAGCTGAATCTATGAAGAACATCAAAGATAACAGTTTGAGAGGTAAGAAGATTCCCCGTAAAAAGATCTACGCATAAAAAAAAAAAAAAAAACTATCTGCAGCACCACCTGACAGTCATGTCCTTATGAAAAATGGGCTAGGATCTAACACAGGAGCTACTGTTTGCTGAAGCTTCATCAGAAGCTCAGTGGAAAGGTGGCTGTCGAGAAGTTGTTCTTAGGTAAAGGAAATGGGGAGAAAAGGGTGTGGTATGCCAAACTACACAAGGACAGTCATCAATATGTACGGAGGAGGTCAGGAGAGATGCACAACAGTGAATGTCTACAGCAGTCTGTAAAACGTGGTGTTGGCAATTTTGTCAAAATTGATGAAATTATGAACGCAGAAATGTACTGTGAGATTTTGATGCAGCACGCAATATCATATGGAAAGCCTCTGCTTGGCACAAATGGAATACTTATCGGTCATGGATTGGCCTCCCCAGAGCCCGGACCTCAATTTTACTGAAGCAGTGTGGGAACAACTTGACCGAGAACAAAACAAAAGGGCAGCCAGCATCCAATAGAAGAGCTTTGAATGTGATTTGAGAAGCTTGGAGAACTATTCCTGAACACTCCTTAAAGAAATAACAAGAAAGCTGCCTACGAGAGTTCAGGCTGTGTTGAAGAATAACCGTCGTCGTACTAACTACTGACTTTGAAGTTTGTTAAAATTGTACAAGCTTTGTTTTTGCTTTATATACAGTATTTCACATTTCAATAAATTGCTGCACCATGTTGGCACCATTTTTAGTGGTGTATGGTACTGCAGGGATTCTGTGCCTGGAAAGGACCAGTGACACAGACTCCAGCCCACCCAAGAGTTGAATAAATGCTTAAGAAAAAACAGCTGGAAGATTGTGATAATGTCAAAATTTCTACTAATACAGAGTTATTTTTAATGCTTCTTTGGACCTTGTCTTTATTTTAATTTGCTCAGGAAACAACAAATATTGACTAAAGGAAAAAAACAGGATTGTTGTAGTGAGATTGAGTTTATCAAGCATCTAAACACACAAAAATAAATTCTTTGAATTATATTTTCTCAAATGGAGCTTTAAATACAAAAATATGTTATTGAAGGCAATATTTCTGGGTCATTTCGAGCTCCTTGTACTGTTGCCATATCCGTCTGTTTCAACAGGGGTCGCTGTTCGCTTTGGCACAATGCAAAGTACCTGGGCGTTATCTCCGAACCTGCTCAATTGTTAACCAGAGTCAACACAATTTCCCCCCTCAGGCAGGCTCCCAGTGCTTTTGGTTTTTGTGTCAAACTAACCTTCATGCAGTCGGACTAAATATGCAGCCAAAATAATAAAAGAGCTCCGAAAAGAATAAAGAAGAAAAAAAATAAAATAAAGTCAATTAGTCCGGATTGAGGAAGTTGTGGGTGAGTAATGGGTTAACGGCGGAAGGCCTCGCCTCACCTTTATTGCGCGTCACCCAGCTCTGTAAAGTGGTCTCACCATCCCAGCATCCGAACCGAAGGGGGAAAATCACCGCCCCTTGCTGCCGCCAGACGCGCCTCTTCCTCTCGGTCGAGCTCACGTCTACCCATCGGTCTCCGCCCCGCCGCTCCATCACCGTCACATACACCCAGAAGACAACGGGAACTGAGGGAATAACGACAATTTACCGGCGAAACGGGGAATCATGAAGGACCGCATGCAAGAACTTAAACATGTAAGTTTGTGTTTGTGTGCTTTCTGCTCAGCATCCACCTGTTAATGCGAACAGACGGGCTTTTTTTATGGAGCGATGTGTGCTCAGAAAGCTCCTGGCCACAGAGCGAGGTGCGCGGAGTGAGCAACAGTTGTGACTCTCGGGTCCTGATGGAAGCTCAAATGTAACGTTTTATTGTAGGAAACGAGCGCGTATTGCTGCCATGGTTTGCTGTGCGTAAATCGGGATGAAGCGCAGCAGACAGGAATGGTTTTAGATGTTAAAAACAAAGTAAAAGTCATTTTCTCAATGGCCCCTTTGATCTTTTTGTCAGTGTTGTGAAATGAGTTTAAAGGCTCTTTGGTGCTAAAGAAAGGGTCATCGGCTAAGACTTTGTACTTAATAGCATCAAATCTTTCTGGTGTCGCTGATTAATCCACTGCTGGTTTCCTTTTAGGAATTTTTTGGAAATATGAAACCAAGATATTAATTAATGTGTGCAGTGTGGTTTGATCGATCTGACCAACTATGGGTGTGTGACTCGAGTGGGGAAATTGGTCCCAGCTCGCCCATTCCACCTGTGAAATGTCCGCCCTCTGCGCGTCACAGGGGTCTTATCCAAGAACCTTTAAACACCAACAACAAGGAACGCAACGTTTTGTCTTTCAAACCCCTGCAATGTGCTTTATTAGGGATGTAGTCTTGTGGATATGAACTCCGACACCATTTATTCTTACCACTGATGAGAAATAAAGCCTTGAAATCTTGAATTGTACCCTTTGACTTTCTGCCAGCTGTTTTTTTTCTTTTCTTTTTTTAATTTTCCAAACAATTTTTAATTGTTTAAAAAAGCTAACGTGGTAACAAGAAGACGTGTGATTGGATGGCTAACAGGTTTTTGGCTTGACTGATACAGAAGTACAGCCACTGAGTAGCATCCTCCACAGGAATGTTAGTTTCAGCTTCATATAGGCTACTTTCTGTGTGTGTGGTAGTAAAGTGGCCATTGTCAGATCTGGGTAATTGGCAGTTAAGCTGAGGAGAGGGGAAACAATTTGCAGCTCTTCAGTTTTCAGTGAAGATCTAGCTATGAATTGGTCACAAGGGAGACAACCCAGCATTGCCAAGTGTGTGTGTGTGTGTGTGTGTGAGAGAGAGAGGCGTGCCTTCAGCCTGCCATGCTATGTCTTTGGAGTGCTGGAAAGATGCAGTTGTATCATTGAGAAAGAGAAAGATGGAGAAATAGTCCAAATTTTCCTCACCAGCTTCAGTGTGAATCATCAGTCCACAAACACCCTGATTCTATTTTCTTTTATCAGTTTTGATCATATCCGTCGTGTCTGAGAAATGGCAGCTGGAGAAGCTCAGCCGGACCTATTTCAGACAAACTGCACCAAATAAAACTGGAATAAATTGCAAGTCACAGAGAGCTGCTTCCCATCAGCATTAGATTAATATTGGTTTCCTCTTCAGCTTCAAGTTAATGTGGCTTCTTGATTCTTATCTGTCTCTGAAGGGCCGGCTATAGATGGGATTGTGTCAAAAACCGAACAGTAAGCAGTGACAGTAATTTAGTTTCTGATTACTCTATAGTTACTTTAAACTCATTTTTATATTAAATATATTTACAAGTTTCCAGGACCCAAAAAACCCTTGTGTGGCTGACCAATCGTATAGACGAAAGATTATTAGTATAATAATAGAAAAGCGAAGAAACAATTATCAGTCGTATTTATGTGATAAACGATCCATTTTTAATCTAGCAGCGCCCTGACTTTTTCAGAGCTCCAGCTTTCGTGTAGAGATGTGTTTAGAGAAATATTTTGCAGACCTTTGCAATTAAGTCTGCTGAGCTTGAGAGCTTGGTCAGTTTATTGCCAACACTTAAGCTCAAGAAGAAGAACTTGTAGCCTACTCATTGGTTTGTTTAGCACCCAGTACCTGAAAGTAGCTCTGCAAATAACTGCACTTTTTATATTTCTCCTCTCAGGTGGACAAGACGGGAGAAGATCAAGTTCTATATTGTGCATGCTCATAAACCCACCTCTTGTGGCTTTTCATTATTTTTGCTTTGGATTTTCTATTTCCACTGTTGTATTGGTTTTAATGAGATTTGGGAGTTTCGGGAGGCCACCTTAACACTAGGGGAAATCTTAGATTCCCATGATCTCAGGAACTTTTACTTCAAGATCTCTGTGGACTAGCAGCATAACAGAGCATCCTCGCTTTGGGAATAGAAACTAGAGGAACTCATGATGAACACTAGTGACTCAGTCAGTGTTGCAACCTATTTAGGCTTAAGTACATTAAGGGAGACATGTGGAGGTTTCTTTCTTAGCCAGCAGTCACCACAACATAAACCTACATAAAGTACTGTGCAGTTGTCTTAAATCACCACTAATTTCTTTATATTTTGTTAGGAAAGTGAGAAATAATTGCAGCAATTTATTGAAATGTGCAAACATACTTGGAAGAGACACAGTCTATAAAGTAAAAACAGAGTTGTAGCTAGCTCGACAGTCTGTATTTGGTATGATCACCTTTATTCTTCAGCAGCCTGAACTCTCTTTTCATGTAATTTCTTTAAGTAGTCTTTGGGTACAGTTGCAGTAGCTCTCTGGGCTTCTTCAAGGACGTTCAAAGCGCTTCATTGGATGTTTGCTGCCTATTGTTCTGTTCTGTTCTGTCAAGATGACAGTGTGTTCGGCATCATTGTCATGCTGAAAAATGAAGTTGCTGCCAATCAGATGCTTTCCAGATAGTACCTCATGGTGCATTAGTATCTCATGGTACTTTTCCTGTGTTCATAATTCATCCCATTTTGACACGCTCTCAAACAGCACTGCCTGAAGTGCAACCCCAAAGCATGACACAGCCTTTACCGTGTATCACAGATGGCTCCTGACCTTCTCTGTACATACTGACAACAATTTGAACCAAAGATTTCAAATCTGGCTTCGTTGCTCCATTTGACACGGTGCCACTGAGTCCTTTGCACATGTGTCAATACATAGCTGTGCGTGTTTCCCTTTTTTTTTTTTTTTTAAGCAAAATGTAAAGAAATGAGAAGTGGTTCACAACATTGTATTTGTGTGTGTGTGTTTGTATATTATTATGGATGGTTGTTCAAAGATTTGTATGTGTTGTAGTTGAACAAGATAACAGATGATGTCTCCAAATCATGAAATGAAGGGTGGAGGGATTGAGCTCGGGGCAGCAGTCTTTTTGCATTTCTCTGAATGCAAATGCATTTCTCTGAAAAACAACACGAGCCTGTTTTACCATAATTGCACAGACTAAAGAAATAGAGTGGATTGTGTCCTGTGTCCTGTATCTGCTCTGTGTCAGTATTGATCATAACTATCTTATAGTATTTGCATTTGTTAACACTTGCTTTGAGGGTTTAATTTAAGAACTTTTGGTGATTTCTAAAAGTGTTATCATTTATTTGGACTTTGTGATTAGTTCTTCAGTGTAAAATAATCAAACCCATTCAGCTAGAAAACCTCCCCCATTATATAAGAATTCTTTTTCACATTGAAACAAAGCATATCAGGAGCAAACGGAGGACTTGTGAGCTTTACAGATTTTGTTGCTTATGTGTCTTTGTGTGTGTCACACTGCAAGTTTACTCAGCCATGTGCTCGTGTGTCATTTTGGCAGGAAATTGAGTTTTGCTCATATTTGTGTGAGGGTACAGGTTCTGCTCCAACACTGCCCATATGCACATAAAGCTACTTTATGAGCTCAACACCTGCCTACGACTCTGCTCTCCCAATAACTCGTTAGCTTGCTGCCTAAAGCCGCCCGACTTAATAATAAGGATGGCCACACGGCTTCCTCCCTCCCCTCACCTTGTCCCAGCACTCCCAGTTGGCCCAGCAGTGATTTGGTGACAGATGGTGATGATGTGACGCGTTTGTCAGCCTTCCTCGAGCTCTGAAACCTAAAGGGAAAAACACTGATGAGTTTATTACAGATTCCACACACCACAGGGACTGTTATAAATCAAATGTGATTGTTTATCATTTTGCAGCAGCGAGTTATTCGTTTAGGCCGGCATTATGAGCGCTGTACCTGTAACAGTTAATTTCGCCTTCAGATTTTTTCCCTGACATTTTATCAGCTCTCTTTTTCTTCAGTCTTGTCATTTGATTGACTGTATCTGCCTCTGTTCCTATCTCTGTGTCTTTAATAGTAAGCCTCTCTTTTCCTTTCTTTCTCTATGTAATGGTGAGTTCGGCCATTATTGCTCTTTGCTCTCTTCCTATCAGTGATTTATCAGATGGCTTCCTGTCCTCCCCTAGATTTTTCCTTTCCTTTATCCCTCCTTGCTTCTCTAGGCAGCCTTGTTAGCCATTGTTGGCTCAGGCAGCTCTTTATGTCTCTGAATGCTGGGGCTAATCACTGTCGCTACCTGTTTGGCATTGGAGTGACACATTAACTAATAGGACAGTTGTCAACAAAGCCCATTCGTGTCTTTAAAAGTCTTGTTTTTATTTCATTTACCCACCTTTTTTGTTGCATTTTGTTCTGTGTCTTTATCTTTTTTTTTTCTTCTGTCCCGGACCTGAACTTTACTGTTGACCCTTTTTATTGACACTACCGGCAGTGAGGAAAAAGAAGCCACTTTGGTGGCTGTTGAACTGAACGCTGATCCTAGGGGGGGGGGGGGGGGGGGGGGTCAGAGGTTTTGTTTGTCGTCGTTCAAAGCTTTGAGCCTCTGTAAACTGCAGGGCAAACTGGCTGGTTTCTGCTTGTGACCAACAAATGAGACTTTTCTGTAAAATTATGGCTTTGAGGAATAAACTAACGTTGTTATTGCACTATATTATCAGAAAGGCACACAGACTGACACAAACACATTATTCATTAACAGATAAATGCTGCATAATTGCATTAATGAGCCATGAAATGAGTGTGACCGATCTGGCATTTCACCAGAGACTTGTCTGTCTTTGCAAATGAGGTGACAGTTGCAATGATATCCAATATCGCTTGGCTGTTAATAGACATTAGAT